GGGGGGGGGGGGGGGGGGGTGCATGCGTGTGCACGTGTGCATGTGTGTTTTAGATTTTCCCCACAGCAGCCCCAATTCCACCCAGGTGAATAGGTTCAGAATCAAAGGAGTCTTTGTCCTATTGCAGACAACGAGAGCATTTGAGATGTCCAACATATTAAAGCAATTTTATAATTAGGCAGTTTTTTGGTTGTCCTTGGGGTACCCCTTTCATTGTGTGTGTGTGTGTGTGTGTGTGTGTGTGTGTGTGTGTGTGTGTGTGTGTGATGGGGGAAGAAGCCTTCACGATCGTATCATGGCACGATGTGCTGTGAAGTGCGCACATGATACGAAGAGTATCATGCCACGAGACAGATTCGTGAAGGCTTCTTCGCCCATGATCGAACACACACTCATGCACATGCACACGCACACTCGGTTCTTCGCCCATCGAACACACACTCGTGCACATGCACATGCACACGCACACTCAGAAGAAGAGGTTTGCGATCCAGGAGAAGCCACAACGAAGAGTATATGCGAAAGAAAGATGCAGCCACTTCCCATGCGATTTCACAAAAAAACGCTGGCTATGGCGAAGACAAAGCAAACAAAACAGCACAAGGCAGCAAAGACCCCCACAAAGGCATGCAGACGTGCAGGCAGGAAAGCACAGGCAACAAGGTATGTAGCCTCGGAGCAGAAGTGAGCAAGACTAAAAAGAAGTAAGGTTAGAGGAATGCCAGCAAGGATGAGAAGGGGCAGCAACGCACATAACATAGGCTGGAGGGCACGCGGGAGATGGGTAGGCAAACAACGAGCCAAGGGGTGGGTGGGTGGGCGGGCAAACCGAGAGCACGAGGGTGCAAAGGAAAACGTAATGTAGCGGGCGAAAGAGCAGCAATGCAAACGAATCGCAGACAAGTGCAGGCTCCATTGAAAAGGAAAGAGCGAAAAGAAAAGAGAACTGATAATCGAAGATTGTTTCGGCCGACTTGCACCAACTCGTCAGGAGGCTGAACCCTCGACGATCTGCGGAGTCCCCATATTGATGCTTTGGGTCACGAACCCTTTGACCCCTCGTTGAGCACAGACTGTTCGCAGAGGCAAGACTGCGAGCAGAACATAGCAGCGGGCAACGACTCAGCATAAGCTCAAGGCAAGGCTACCACGGCAGTCCAACTGCACANCAGAGGCAAGACTGCGAGCAGAACATAGCAGCGGGCAACGACTCAGCATAAGCTCAAGGCAAGGCTACCACGGCAGTCCAACTGCACAACACCCAAATGCTAACTGCATGAAATGACAACGCAAGTGGACTGGCAGCACAGCAACAGAGCAGTGAAGTACCGGGTGCGGAAAAGTAAGGCACGTGGATGGGCAGCAAGCCAACCAACAGTGCAGCGAAGCACAAGACAACACTAACAAAGCAGCAGCTGTACTATAACGGCAAATAAACAAGCTGCAGAGAACGACATGGGAACACGTGGGGGGGGCAGCAAGACAGCGAGGCGGACGAGGCATTCCATACATTCAACATGGAGCAGCGAAGTACATCACCTACTCACACCACAAGTGAACCCTGCGGACGGTTGGTTCCCACCACCTGCTGAGCGCGACGAACGTCTGTCATCACCGATAGACCATATGCACCGCACAGACATGAGAAGCACGTGGGATGGGCAGCAAGACAGAGGCCGAGAGGAGAGAGAGAGAGAGGGTNATAGACCATATGCACCGCACAGACATGAGAAGCACGTGGGATGGGCAGCAAGACAGAGGCCGAGAGGAGAGAGAGAGAGAGGGTTAACCGGGGGCTGAATATTCGCCGGCGATTTCGGTGCAAAATTCAGCAAAATTGTCAAAGACAAACCATATGGGCCCATAGTGCAAACATAAAAACAAAAACAAAAACAATCAGGCCAGAAAAAAAACAAAAAACAAAAAAAAACAGTAGAAAACCCTAACAGGAAAACACTTTACGGAGTAAAATGAAGCGTCCAACGAGGGACTCCATACATCCAACACAGAGCAAAGAAGTACATCACGTACTCCATACCACAAGGGAACCTCGGAGACTGTCGATTCCCACCACCTGCGGAGCCGGGGAGTCACGCCGACGAACATCTGTCATCACCGATAGACCATATGCACCATACTCCGAACAATGAACCACCGACTATTTGGCACTGCTTGAAGGTGGTCGTGTACACACACAAATACAAAGAAGGTAGAAAGAAAGACATACATAAAACTTCTTTTGTGTGTGTGTGTGTGTGTGCATGTGTGTGTGTGTGCATGTGTGTG